ATTTTTTTCATATTTTTTTTAGGTGCGCCTCTCTAAGATGTACACTCTCTAAATTTCATATCATTCCGATTAGTAAAAAAAGTGAAAAATGAAACATTACTATACAACTGTGACCGTGCGATGAAATTTGGATGGTGATGAGGGTAGGCGAAATCACTATTCATTTTCGCCTATAGGCGTTTTGTAGTATCTTCCATATATATATATATATATATTCATATTCTCTTTTCATCAATTCGTTATTTTTTAATAAATTGTAGTATGTTTAAACATCATACGGGAAACATATGTATATGTATTGTGACCAATATGTTGTCTATTTGTTGCATTTCAAGAGAAATTAGAAATAAGAATTGATGAGAAAACCCATCAATTGTGTGATTGGCATCTAACCAATGAGCAAGCTCAAATAGTGAATGTGTTTAGATTAGGTGGTTTAGTGATTACTTTGTGAGGTCAAATAGACCATCCTTTAGTGGTAGCCAACGCAGAGATGTGATGTTCTGAGACCAATTCTTTTCATTACAATATTCAAATTGGTGAGATGACACCTACACTATTTGATGCTCATGAGCTCCTAAGTCTGACTGTGGATGATGAGCATGTAATCTGTCGTCCAATTAGTGACTATCGGGAGTTTATAGAAAACCAATTTGGGTGAAGTCCCCACTAGGGGTAACTTGGCAGTCATCAAACATTCATGGTTGAAGGCCAAATTTCGACAATGGTCACCTGATGCAGTCCCTTTGGACGTTTTTTGGTACACTCGTGCCTACTTGCTCTTCCTTATCAACTTCACCATTTTCTCATATGCATTGCAGGCATTATTGTTGATGCAACTCTGATACCAATTGATGCAAGGAGAAAATAACACTGGAAAAATAAAGATAAAGAGTTGAGAGAATATACCCTCTCTAAAAGTCTGCAAGGGAATCCACTCCAAAATAATCTCATCACAAGACCAAATTTTCTTAACTCATTCACCTCTTTTACAATGAAGGGAAACGTCCCTTCAAATAGACTAAAAAAAAGAAAAGAAGATAAACAACCAAATTTCCTATTTTATCTCCCTTAACCGATTTTCTGTCATCCCAATGTTCTCTCTTTTAAATTCACGTGTCACCCACGTTTTACCCATTATTGAAAAGATAAACCCCCTAGATTTAACTTTATCCTATTTATACTCCTAAACTAACCATATTTAACCTTATACTATTTAATTCCTAAATTTATCCTTATCCTATTTAAACTCCTATTTTTTAGAAACCCCAATGACCAATAATAGATCACACACAAAATCTTCCCCATTCACCAATAATACATCATGCACAAAATCTGCCCTCCTCTCAAATTAACTTGAATTATCCTAGGATAATTTCTATTAAAAATAAAATAAAAATTAAACCCCAATTTTATTTGCATCATTCTCCCTGGGTTGGGAGAAGCTCGACCTCGAGCTTGAAGCCAATCACCATCTGCTAATTGGTGATGTAATCCCACCATGCATCTCAACACCTTTTCTTCAATTTCTTTTTCAATATCTTCAAGACTAATGTAAGACTCTTTGCCTGTAACTGTGTCCCAAGAGTAATTGTTGAATAGGAGGTTGGGCTGATTATTCTAAACTCGGAATGGGTCCACAGCCAAATGAACACCATATTCAATTGATGAACACCCTTGACCATGAAAATTTGGGAGATCGATTTTAATACTAAAATCTTGTTGTCACTTTATAGGATACAGATCTGTGTTTGTCATGAAATTCCTTATACAAGATTAATATGGTTGCTAGTACCTTCTTCACGAGGAAAGTTATTCTCCAACCGTTGCAACCTCTGATCCAAGCGTTGCATCCTTTGATTCATCACCTGATTAATCTCATGTACTTCAGTTCGAAAATCCTCTAGGTGTTGCATCATCTGATTCATCTCCTGATTCATTTCGCGTACTTCACTTTGAAAATTCTCTAGGGCTTTAGTAAAAATTTCTCCCCAACAATCATCCATAGTCGGAGCAGGATTAGCTTGATTCGCTTTTGTTGGCATTGTAAACTCTAGACCTAACTTACTCTGATACCAATTGCTGCAGCGATGTAGCTCTGATACTAATTGATGCATGGAGAAAATAACACGGGAAAAATAAAAATAAAAAGTTGATAAAATATACTTCTCTTAAGGTCTGTAAGGGAATCCACCCCAAAATAATCTCGTCATGATACCAAATTTTATTAACTCATTGATCTCCTTTACAATGAAGGGAAATGTCCGTTTAAATAAACTAAAAAAAAGAGAGAAGATAAACAACTTAATTTCCTATTTTATCTCCCTTATCCTATTCTCTCTCATCTCTATCTTCTCTCTCTTAAATTCACGTGCCACCCTCCTAGATCTAACCTTATCCTATTTATACTCCTAACTAACGATATTTAACTTTATCCTATTTAATTTCTAAATTTAATCTTATCCTATTTATACTCCTATTTTTTAGAAACCCCAATCACCAATAATACATCACGCACAAAATCTTCCCCATTCACCAATAATACATCACGTACAAAATCTTCCCTCCTCCCAAATTAACTTGACTTATCATGGGATAATTTCTCTTAAAAAAATAAAATAAAAATGGAACCCCAATTTTATTTGTATCAAGGGCCAATTAGGTATTTACAATTGTTTAAGGATATTTAGGAAGCTGAGAGATATGCTTGGAGTGTTGCTGCCCTTGCGTATTTGTATCATTCTCTCGGAAAAGCTTGTACTTTTAACTGAATACATTTTAGTGGTTCAGCCAATGTCTAACATATGCTAGACATACATCAAACAGAGGCTATTCCAGACGCAGGTCCTAACCCAATGTTGGATTCCTCAGGTCTAACCCAAGGATATTCAGACCCGAAATATCATTATGTCTTCTTCTGGTACTAGCAATGGTATGGAAAAATTTAGTGTTTAGGTCACCTTCCTTCAACCATTTATTCCTATATCTTTGCTTCCAATAAATTTCTTCAGACCTTCGCAAATCCTCTAACTCCTTCAGTTTAACCCCACGTTTCACCACCACCTGCTCAATTAGAACTCCATATGACTGAGCAGTAAGATCCAATAATTCAATATCAGTTAGAACCCCTTCAATCTTACCCTTAAGATCGAATTTATTATCTTTTTTCCAACCAATCAATTTTTGTTTGACGCTTATCAATTTTTTGTGTAATTGAAAATCCATAGAACCCATCCCCACAAAATTAAGCCAGGTTCTCTTAATAAGCTCAACCACCTCTAAATTATCTAGCCACCTAGCATCAAATCTAAAAGGTCTCAGCCCAGACCTAAGAGACCATGCATCCAAAAAACTGGGGAGGTGACCAACCAAAGCTTTGACTGAGGTTAGTGGAAAGACATCCAGCCATTCCGAAGCCAACAAGAATCTGTCTAATTTAGACATCGCTAAATTAACAATACTATTATTGGATCAAGTAAACTTCAATCCAACAATAGGAGGATCCATAAGAGCATTGCTCTCAATGAAAGAATTAAAACTCCTCATGTAAGTGTTGATTGGGGACCCTGCAAAGGACTCATTCGACCATCTAATATGATTGAAATCCCCCCCCTATCACCATCGAGAAATGGAACAGACGGATCAACTCATTCATCTAAAAAATAAAAGCGGATTTCAAAGAGGAGATATTAGGCCCATAAACATTCATAAGACCCCATGAGAACATCGAAATAGGGCCACTGAAACCCAAAAGTAAGCAATTGTTTTTCACAATAGTCTCAAAATTTTGGACCACCAACGGGTCCCACAAAACCCAAAGGCCACCTGAGTTACCTACTGCATCATTCTCACAGAAACAGACTGCACCTAAGCCCAAAACTTCCCTAGCCCAAGAGAGAGTAGGCCTTAGAAGTTTGGTCTCTTGTAATGCCACAATTATTGGTTTATATTTAGTAACAAAAAATAGGACATCCCTTTTACTTCTACTGTCCCCTAACCCCTAACATTCCAAGACAGAATATTCATAAATTAAGGAGAAGAGAAAGAAGAGGAAATTGGTCCAAAAGGACCGCCCTCAAAACACACTGCTTTCAACATCCTTACGTCATTGGCCTCAACAATGTCATCATCAGAAGAAGAAGGCGAATCAAGATCCACCACCACTGGGTCACAAAAAACAATAGCATTCGCCCCAAGTAACCACCTTTCGGGACTCTGTGCGCCTCCAATCTAGCCGAATACCGCACTCTTCTGTGAAATTCCTTCTTACTCTTGCCAAAAACCGCCCCTTTACCCTTCATAGTCGGCATCACCTTTGGGCCAGAAACTAACTTCTCTACAGGAGGCAAAGGAGAGTCCACCTTGTTGATCACCACTTTCTTTGCTTCACGGTGCTTCTTAATTTCTGTCATAACCATCTTCCATCCCAATATCCATCACCATTTTTTCCACCAAAGATGATTCATTATCAACGTCAATTGGGAAATCAGGGGCCTAACTAGATGGAAATCAACACTTAAAGGATGGGCCGTAGGAGAGACAACTACTGCCAACTCATCATGGACCAAAAACTCCTCCTGAAAAACCTTTAGGGGAGGAGCATCATTAGCAATAGGCTCTCTTGAATATCGACAACATTAATAAGAGGCTGAAACTTTGGATTATTCTCGATAAGGAACTGGAGCTCATCAGGTTCTACCATTACAATGGCAAGAGGATCGATCAAAAGGGGGTCAAAACGGGAATGACTCCCCCTTGGTTTCCCCTTTGCTGCCGCCAAACGGAAGAGAAGAGGGTACATCTTTGAGTGAAGGAGGATAACTATCAACAAACAGCACCATGCTTTGCCCACTTTAATTCTGTGCACCAAGAGTAAAACCAACGAGAAAATAGTCGATGACCCGCCGCAACTTCTTCTTTCTAAAACAAAATTCTCAACCACCGGAAAGAGGTAAGTAGAGGAAGGTAGAGAAGACACAGCCACTTGTATAGTGCAGTCTTCTCCAAAATCTCCTTTGATAACAACATATTTCTCGAGAAGAAACTGTCACGCTAAAGTTTCCTTTGTCATGCCATCAAAAGCTAAAATGTGTTGTGAACCAACGAGACCATCTGGAGAATTCAAATCAACAAAATGTGCACGTGAGACATATATGCCAGACAGTTGGCCATAGACTATTCCATATTGGTCTTGGCCACTCTTGATGGCTATACCATCATTCCCTAGACCCCGACACTGATGTAAAAATTTTCGATCAACATGTTCTCATGTAAGTCTAAATCAATTCCATCTAATCTGGATTTTGGGTAGAGGCATGAGGTGATGCAATGGAATGATGGTTGTGTTTTCTCAAGGTGATGTAGTGTCTGTGTTTACTGAGAAATCGAAATGGGTGCAGTTAGATATCAAGTCGGAGTTCTTTGAGTCTGGATCTTTTTCACCCCCCATTTTTGTTTTTTTTGGTATGTCTGACTAGGTGAAAAGGGGTTGGAACCTTTCCTATACTCCTGATGTTAAGATCATTGGGATAAACAAAGTGGTGTTTAAACTTCGATCCAAGGATGAGGTACGCAGAGTGCTCCAAAATCATTTTTGTAGAATCTGGGGAAGTTTGCTATCTTTGGATTTATGGAAACCATCAGATCATGGTTCCTTTCTTCAGAAGGGATCACTTTGGATTTGAACTTAGCGAAATCCCTCTCTATGCGTGGAATCTGGCTATTATCAAGGTGATTGTGGGTGGTTTTGGGACTTTTTGTGATCTAAATTAGGACTCCTTTTTAGTCCAGTGTGTAAAGCTGTGAAAGTTAAGATTGTTGAAGCTAAAGGTGGCCCCATTCCGGAGAAGGTCTTCTTGACTATTGGTGATGACTATTTTGAGATTTCGATTTCTCGTTGTTCTGAGAAATCTGTTTGCGATCTTGAGCTTGTGAAGTGTAATGGAGGTATCTTTAAGGATTTTCAGCGAAATGAGCCGGAGAAGAGGAAGCCACAGGCCAGAACTGGTATCCCCGGAAATTTGAAGCATTTCAGAAGATACCGGCGTAAGTCCAGCAATTTTGAATTTCAAAATAAGATAACTCCCAAAATTTCAAAATGATGGATCCTTGTGGGAAGGTTTCCTGTTGAGTTTGCGAGACTTTTGAAATTCATTAGTAAGCGGCAGGAGTTGAAAAAGGAATGCGCTAACGTTTTGACAAAAAATAAAGCGGTTTTTTTGGAATATGTTTCGCAATTTTGAAAGATTGGATTTTGGATGATGTCTCACGTGCACATTTTGTTGATTTGAATTCTCCCTACGGTCCCATTGGTTCACAACGCATTTTAGCTTTTGATAGCGTGACAAAGGAAACTTTGGTGGCATGGTTTCTTCCTGAGAAATCTGCTATTATCAAAGGAGATTTTGGGGAAGGCTGCACCATACAAGTGGTTGTGTCTTCTCTACCTTCCTCTACTTACCTCTTTCTGGTGGTTGAGAATTTTATTTCAGAAAGAGGAAGCTGCGGGGGGTCATCGGCTATTTTCTTGCTGGTTTTACTGTTGGTGCACAGAACTAAAGTGGGCAAAGCGTGGTGCTATTTGCTGACAGTTATCCTCCTTCACTCAAAGATATACCGTCTTCTCTTCCATTTGGAGGCAGCAAAGGGGCAACCGAGGAGGAGTCATTCTCATTTTGACCCCCTTTTGATCGATCCTCTTGCCATTGTAATGGTAGAACCTAATGAGCCCCAGTTCCTTATCAAGAATATTTCGAAGGAGTTTCAGCCTCCTATTAATGCTGCCAATATTCAAGAGGGGTATGTTGCTGATGATGCTCATGCCTAGGAGGTTTTTCAAGAGGAGTTTTTGGTCCATGATGAGTTAGCAGTAGTTGTCTCTCCTACAGCTCATTCGTTAAGTGCTGATTTCCGATCTAACCAAGCCCCTGATTTCCCCAATGACGTTGATAATGAATCAGCTTTGGTGGAAAAAATGGTGATGGATATGGGGATGGACAATGTGCCCCTTACAGTGGTTATGACAGAAATTAAGAAGCATCGTGAAGTAAAGAAAGTGGTGATTAATAAGGTGGACTCTCCTTTGCCTCTTGCAGAGAAGTTAGTGTATGGCCCAGAGGTGACGCCGACTATGAAGGGTAAAGAGGCATTGTCTGACAAGAGTAAGAAGGAATTTCACAGAGGAGTGCGGTCTTCGGCTAGATTGGAGGAGCGCGGAGTCCAGAAAGGTGGTTACTTGGCAGCGAATGCTATTGTTTTTCGCGACCCGGTGGTGGTGGATCTTGATTCGCCTTCTTCTTCTGATGCTGACATCGCTGAGGCCAATGACGCAAGGATGCTGGAAGCAGTGTGTTTTGAGGGCGGTCCTTCTGGACCAGGTTCCTCTTCTTTCTCTTCTCCTTAATTTATTAATATTCTGTCTTGGAATTTTAGGGGGTTAGGGGACAGTAGAAAGAAAAGGGATGTCCTGTTTTTGTTACTAAATATAAACCAGTAATTGTGGCATTATAGGAGACCAAACAATCAAGGCGTACTCTCTCTGGGGCTAGGAAGTTTGAGGCTCAAGTGCAGTTTGTTTCTGTGAGATTGATGCACTAGGTAGCTCAAGTAGTCTTTGGGTTTTGTGGGACCCGTTGGTGGCCCAAAATTTTGAGACTATTGTGAAAAACAATTGCTTACTTTTGGGTTTCAGTGGCCCTATTTCGGGGTTCTCATGGGTTTTTATAAATATTTGTGGGCCTAATATCTCCTGTTTGAAATCTCCTTTTATTTTTGAGATGAATGAGTTGATCCGTCTGTTCTATTTTTCGGTGGTGATAGGGGGGATTTCAATCATATTAGATGGCCGAACGAGTCCCTTGCAGGGTACCTAAGCAACACTTACATGAGGAATTTTAATTCTTTGAGAGCAATGCTCTTATGGATCGTTCCATTATTGGATCGCAGTTCACTGGGTCCAATAATAACATTGCTAATTTAGCGATGTCTAAATTAGACAGATTCTTGTTGGCTTCGGAGTGGGTGGAGGTCTTTCCACTTGCCTCTATCAAAGCTTTGGTAAAGTTGTCCTCTGATGACCACCCCATTTGTTTGGATACAAGGTCTCTTAGGTCTGGGCCGAGACCTTTTAGATTTGTTGTTAGTTGGCTAGATAATTTAGAGGTGGTTGAGCTTTTTAAGAGAACCTGACTGAATTATGTGGGGATGGGTTTTATAGATTTTCAATTACACAAAAAATTGATAAGCATCAAACACAAATTGATTGGTTGGAAAAAGGATAATAAATTCGATCTTAAGGGTAAGATTGAAGGGGTTCTAGCTGATATTGAATTATTGGATCTTAATGCTCAGTCATATGGCGTTTTAACTGAGCAGGTGGTGGTGGAATGTGGGGTTAAATTGAACGAGTTGCAGGATTTGCGAAGGTCTGACTAAATTTATTGGAA